ATTGACAGATACGCGTATTTCGTCTACTACTTGCAGACTTCATCAGTGCCAAGTACTCAACACCACAATTTATTGTTTTCAATCCTGAACAGTTTTCGATTTCTCTAAATTCCAAAACTAGGAAAATTCCTTCCAGGATTCAAAAAAAAAAAAAATATAGTCAAAATCTAAACAAAAACTCAAAATAAAAAAAAAAATCCTGGCTCGATATTTCGAAGAATGAAGAATGTTTAGAAAATGTCTCAATATTCATGATTCTGCAACCCATTACAAACATGTTGTAACAATTCCATGTATGATGTTGCAATAATGTCCAACGATGGACCTTTAGTAATTAAAGTAGTAAGTTTGGCTTTTTATTTTTTGAGAAGAGGGTCCATTTATTGCAGTGATATTTATAAAGCAACACATTTTAAAAATCTGGGAAAATCTGGAACATATTTCAAAAATCTGGATATAAACGTGATCTGTCTGTCTATCTGGCAATACTTCTGAAAATCTGTAAAATCCAGATAAATCTGGAATACTGGCAACGATGATCGGAATCGAGAAAAGACATCGCAAAAAAAGGCCCATTAACACCGTGTATCATCTTCGGCGGTACTTCGTGAAGCTGCTTGCCAACAAATTGGTCGTTTCCTTCTACCAGCCCGAGCAAGCTATACTGGAATAAGTCTGCATCGTGCTCTCTTGCTTTCTGCTGAAGGAAATGTTACTGCTAACAAAAGCTACAACAAATTTAAAAAGCACTTTCTGTATTCAATATTACCTGCAAATGTTCTACTTGGTTGACTCTTATTCCTCTTCGATCCTTGTTTGGACCCTACTCGAGGTAATTCTGCTTGGATATCGACTTGGAAAATTCCCTTTCGATCCTTCGGATTCTTTTAGTAATCATCTGCTTGGAAATCGATTTAGAGAAACGTTTTACTGCCGCCATGGCACCGAAACGCAAGAGAAAAGGGCAATCTCATGATCCCCCTTCTGATGGAATTTCTTTGAGCAATCAATTTGATATGCTCACGGATGATGAGAATGATCTATCATCCAGGCAAAATGCCACTTAACGTTCCCGGGTTAATGCCAAGAAGGAAAAGGTTCCCTTATTGTGATAACCACTTCCGATTTCCATGCTCTGCACACGGAACTTTTGAACTTCGTCAAATTCAAGTTTTCACTTCAAATTGGCCGTCGGGGTCTTCTCAAGTATCTTACTGATAAGCAACACAAATTTTTCACTTACGACACCAACACTGAACGTCTGTTCAAGGTTGTCTTGAAAGGTCTGCCCAGTGGAGAATCTCTGGATCAGATCAAAAATGAATTGACAAAATTATTTGGAGCTGAACCACTCTAAGTAATCAAAATGAAAATGAAATCCCGAGCCGGCGAATCGCGCAACAAGATTTCTAATGATTTTTATTTAGTTCACTTCAAGTCTATTGAACAAGCAACCTTAAGGCCTCAAAAAAGCTAGCCTTATGAGCCATGTTCGAGTGAAGTGGGAATACTTCAGTAAGACTGGAGGAAGTTTCCTAAACCTCACCCAGTGCCGTAAGTGTTAGAAATGGGGTCATGGAACAAAAAAGTGCTACATGCCAGCTAAATGCAAGAATTGTGGTGATTCCTCTCACGTAAATGACGACTGTCCTGTGAAGGAAGATCCTAGGAAATTTAAATTTTCAAATTGTGGTGAAAACAACAAATCCAATTTTCGGAAATGTAAAACTAGCAAAGCGATCCTGCAATCTAGTTCTACACGATAAGTAGGAAACGCTCCACGTTTCCGATCAGGTACAAATTACTCTGCTGTTAACAACGGTCAGCGAGGAACAAATTCTACATTCGTACCCGTAGGTACAAATATCCCCCTGCTTCAAATTTTTCATCTATACCTACTCCTCTCGCTGCTAACAATGTTCAGCGAGTTAATGGAGCTACCTATGCTGCTATTGCAGCGAGTAGAAATCAAAATACTAACCAACGTAATTCTAACGGAAATTTTGACAACAACGTTTCCCGCCCACATTACTGCCCCTAAAATGGAATTTTTACAGAAATCATTAATTGACATGATTACTGATATGCTAAAAACTAACTCCATGTTTGATGCTATTCAAACTGGAGTCAAATTTGCGAAAAATATTGTCATGACTTTGAAATTCAATAATGGATTTTAAATCATAAAATATTTCGAATTGGAATGCTCGATCTCTTAAAGATAATTCAGACGAGCTATTTAACTTTTTGAGAGTTCATAACGTGCATATTGCCGTTATAACTGAAACGTTCCTTAAACCTGACCATAAGGTTAAAAGGGACGCAAATTATTTCATTTATAGAAATGATCGTATTGAAGGAGCCTGTGGTGGCGTTGCCATCATTGTTTATAGACAAATCAAACATAAAATTCTTTCTTCATTTGAAACCCAAGTTTTTGAAACTTTGGGAGTTTCTGTCGAATTAAAATTTGGACAGTTTACGTTTATAGCTGCCCATTTCACAAACCAATACGTAGGCCAGCAAAAGAATTTTTCTCAAGGGTGACCTTCAGAAACTTACCCGTCATAGGTCTAAATTCTTCATTATTGGTGATTTTAATGCAAAACACCGCTCATGGAATAATGCTCAAAGCAATTCCAATGGTAATATTCTGTTTGATGATTGTTCTGCAGGATATTACACTATTTAATATCCAAACACCCCAACATGCTTTTCTTCTGCAAGAAACCCCTCAACTATTGATTTGGTCTTAACTGATTCATGTTGACTTTGTAGCCAATTGGTTACTCATGCTGACTTCGGTTCTGATCACCTTCCAGTAACTTTTGAATTATCCAAAGAAATAATGTCGAATCCCAACAGCTCTACTTTCAATTACCATAAAGCAATATCGAACATTTATGGAATAGAACTTCGATCCAAATATTCCTTTGCAAACCAAAGGTGATGTTAATTATGCTCTATTTCTATATCCTCATCAAAAAACTCCCAGAGAGTACCTTGTCTTTCTTGGCAAAATTATTTAACAGTTGATAAATGGAAAAATGCAAAAGTTGTTCCAATTTTGAAGCCAGATAAAAATCCAGCTGAAACTTCTAGCTACCGTCCAATAAGTTTCCTTTCTCATGTTTCCGGATGAGAATTTCTTTGGCTGACTTCCAACACGAGGGGAAGTACTCAAGTCTAAGACACTGATTGATAATCAGTGCCAGATGGTTGAAGAATCTGGAACTCAAACGTTTTTTAAGGATTCATTTTCAAGCACGAAGGGGGTCATAGGGCCAGGTCTCCAGTAAAACATCACTGTCCATTCAGCACAAGTGACCATCCAGCATTCCTACTAGATTATCAAATGTTGTGCTTAATCATTTATTATTAGTACATAGCAATAAACAATGCAAGGTGTTGATTAATCTGTTAATATGCTTTTATAAGCGGGTTCAAATGCACTTTTGGTAAGCATAAACACTGATCTGGCAACACTAGTGTACATGTTTCCAATGTGGTAAAGATCCAGATCAGCCCTGGGACCTGGTAGCCTAATTAAACTACCTCAAGGTTTTGCCAAAGCCCAGGGAACGTTTGAGCTCCAGATTAAGCATGTTGCCAAAACCTGGGGCTTCTTCCCAGTAGTTAAGTTAAATTTTAATTGTATTGTTTGATACACCGCAGAATTGTGAATTAGAACCTAGTTTTGCAAGATCGTCTGCAATCCATTACATATTTACTGAGTTCATGCGACCCAGATAATTTTTGATGCACATTTTTAAGCCCATCATGCTTTCAAAGCTGCTTGACTATCAGAGAAAAACACAAATATTTGTATGCCTGTACTTTCTTTTCAGGCAAACATTGCCACGTTCTCGCTTAACACTTGAAAAGGATCTATTAGCTTTTGCAAACAAAAGTTGAAAGGCCGTTTTCACGTTTTGTTTACAAAAGCGGATTGACCCTTTTCAAATGTTACGCGAGCATTCTAGTATTGCAAACAAATCTGCTTGAAACACGGTTGGCCAATGTCCCATTGCAACTGAAAGCTTTATTCCAGGGCCAAAGATTAAAGCACCAGTTTTGTTCCAATATTTGAGCCGTCCGTGAAGAATATAATTGAGCCTTTACGAACAATACTACCCATAATCGCATATCAGTCCCATCTTTGCTTGATTTCCTATCCATATGGGACTGATATGCGATTATGGGCAGAATAGGACCTCCAACTTCCCAATCTGTAAGCGACGTTTCGCATACCTTATAGGGAATGTCATAGTTATCCTCAGGTTTCATCCAGTCTCCGTTCGTAGTCATCACCGTCTCTCTTTTAAAATATTGCAAAATACTAAAGAGACCAACAAGATCACCTGACAAGACATTTCAGGATCTTGTAAGCCTAAGTTAATTGACAATACTTTATGCAAACATGAACGATTGACGAACGATTTGCGCTTTTAATTGTCTAAATTAGGAACCAACCCAAAAAACCCCAAATGAATAAAGCACTCATTCAAGAAATCACGATTCACGATTGTAACGTTCGATTGAACAATTAAGCCAATCAATCGCCATATAATCCGCTCCTCGAAGAAAGCTGACGATTATTGATGACAATAAATTGCCTTTCCAAGACCAATCAACCCCTACGGACAAATTGATTCAACACAAAACATTCCCATCATTCTTCAAATACGTCATTATCTCCTCCACGCGTGACAAAAACAACATACAGACTACAGAGTGATAACCTGAGTGAGACAGTGGTGGGGGGGCAACGGTGGTGGTGGTGAGTTTTCACCTCCCATCTACATTCAAATGATGTGTGCCGATTAGGCATCCCATTAGCAAACGACAAGAAATAAAAACATTCCCCTTCCCTTCTTAGGTCAAATTCATTATCAGCCCGATAAAGAACGTGCAAACATCAACACCATCATTACAATTTGTTTACCGAAGAAAAAAAAACCTTCTCAATTACCCCCACAAATTATGGAAACATTACTCACCGATGCCGTTACTCCTCCCAGCACGGCCAGATTTCGTTTGTGCTTCCCGGCTGCTTTGTAGCGTGTGTGGATTTTTCTCCCGACCCAGACCGGAATTCCTAAAAAACAGCATATTAAGATCAATACGTCTATCTGAATTTGTGTCTAATTCAGCACATTCACTTCATACCTATAATCATCGCCGGCACGGCAATGCCGGCCACCAGGGCAATCCCTAGCGGTGCCCCGACCAGGGTCCCCAGCTGCCACAGCAGCTTCTTCTTCCGGGACCAAGGTTTCTTGCCCCAGAAGGTGCACCCGGAAGGGCTCAGATAGTGCAAATCGCTGATCTCCTTCATGCAGAGCCAGCAGAATTCGGACCCACAGATGGCGCAAACCATGTGGTTGCACGAACCGTCGTCCATCTTGACGATCAGAACCTGACAGCGGGGGCATGGTTTGATGTCGTCCTCTGTGGAATGGGGGAAGGGGGAGAAGAATAAGAGGCAATTAGAATTACTTTGCTCGTCTGCTGTCAGTGACCGACCGCGGTCGGTCATTGACTTGTTTTGTTTTCGGGTGCGAAACCTGTTACGTAGTTAGCTCTAGGGTCTAGGGTGGATCAAGATTAGTAGGATTAAAAACAATGCATCATTTCGAATGGATTTTGCGTTCTTAAATATACAGGGAGGAAGTAAGAGAATTTTCTGTGGCGTCTTTGCAGGAACGATTGACGGTGCACGACAATCGAATTCATACGAACAATGGAAAAGGTCAAGACAAGATTGATGAACCTTGAGCTGGAGGACCAATCTCCTCCGACTGATAGGTACTAATGCTAGCAGCAAAGGTGCGATTCGTCGCAGCAGCTCGACGAATCTTCTCGTAACATTTAATTGTGTTACTAATTGATGTTTGTCCTGTGGAGAGGCAAGGTCTAGTTTACACTAACACGTTCGTCAATACAGGGCACCAAGTGATTGAACGTCGTGCATCGGGGATCTACCGGTGCCAGCCACAGCAACAGTACTTCAGGCGATACGGTAATTTAGCTCCATTTAGAAGTCAATCGTATTTAATCGTTTCGAGTTAACAGCACCGGAGCGCAATGGAGGGGAAAAAAGGTTTAGTTCAAGGATAGATCAGTTGTTCTAAAGGCGCGCGCCGTGCGGTGTTTACAATTGTGTTACGTAACAGTGGTGTGTGTCAGTGTACTTTGTCCGTGACTCACTCGGCTGCGACACGGCGGGGGCGACGGCGAACAAATGAGTCTAGTTATGTTTCACTTATCGCTTAATTATCTCTTTTCAACGGCAATTGATTTACGTTTTCATGCTTCATATATTTTGCATTGCTCATTGATTGATTTGATTTTACCGATTGTTGAATTCGTTATGGCATGGTTTAATCGAACGATGATGCGATAAGTCATGTAACTGTTAAAAGCAATTAAGCAAAGCTGCACGACGATGAGGGTCGCTATACACGCTAACTTGAAAGTACCCATTAATGGTTGAAAAAGCCCCATTTTGAAGAAAAGTGGCTTAACTCATTAAATGAGTAAATTTTTTACCCATTAATGAGTATCTGTTACCCATTAATGAGTAATTGTTAATCATTAATGGGTAACAGATACTCATTAATGGGTAAAATAGTTTAATCATTAATAAGTTAAGCCACTTTTCTTCATAATGGGTCTTTTTTTACTCATTAATGAGTACTTTCAAGTTAGCGTGTAAGCTATTCTAATCTAGTGATGCACCGAACAGTGCTATTCGGCGTTTACACCAAAACGTTACCCGTTACGGTCTTTTTCCAACAAGTGCCCGAGCAAACTTTTGAGGCTTTTTCTTCTTCTTCGCATTTCAAGCTTATTGCATATCGCATATTAGCTTATTGCGTGCTCTTAACTTAGTGTTCTAGGTGCACTTCCACAGTTATTAATTGAGAGCTTTCGATGCCTGTACCATTTTTGCATTTGTATAATTGTGTGGCAAGTCCAATCATACTTCTATGCCCAGGGAAGTCGAGAAATTTTCCAACCCGAAAAATTCCTAGACCGGACGGGGAATTGAACCCAGCCACCTCCAGCATGGTCTTGCTTTGTAGCTGCGCCTTTACCGACTGAGCTAAGGGAGGCCTTTGAGGCTGCAAAACTTGATATTCGGCCGAATGCTACAGCAGTTCATTACTATGCCAGGGCTGGTAGTGCCGATGCGATATAATAATAGTGACTTTAGTGACTAAAATTACGGAAATAGTGACCAAATAGTGACTTGTAAATACTAAATAAGTACATGTATGGTTGATTATATGGTAACTTAGAAATTCAAATACGGTATGAGATTGAAATAAACTTTTTATGTCATGGATCTTAAAATCAAATTTCATAAATTCCTCTAATTTAATCTAATCTCACAACGGAATCTTCTGTGAAGAGCATTTGAAGTGATTTTAATAATTTACTTCTGCTTACGTTATACATGATGAATAGGAAATAGTAATTCCCATTTTTGTATGATCTTGAATTTGATTCTGCGTCCGAAATCTTTAAATATTTGATATATCTAGGTAGATAACTTTGATAATTCGCTATGAACTTTTCACAGATTTTTTTTTCAGAATGATCTCAAGAACTATTTTAGAATAATTCCTATTCTCTTGAACTTAGAGGCAAATAAGCTTTTGCAATAATAATTTTTTTTTTTTTATTAGAGACATTTTACGCTTGCATAGTGCATTCATGTCTAGATTGGATTAATTACAATTTGTTGTACAGATCGGTTTCTTTTAGCAAAGAAATGATGTTTTTTTCTACTGCATCATTATTGTGGAGTATTGCTTGCAGGCTTGAAGAGTCAATGTTGAATTGTGATCGGGAATCTTGATATTTCCTACAGTCCAGAAGGATATGACGTATGTCGATGTTGGAGCCGCAGCATTCGCATAAAGGTGAGTCTGTTCTGTTGATCAGGAACTCGTGGGTGAGCCTCGTATGTCCTATTCTCAATCGGGTTAGGACCCGTTGGTCTGCGGGGTCCGCGCTGTCCTATCATTGGCTTGTGTCGGATTTTATCTCGCGGAGCTTAACGTCCTGCGAATTGAACCATAGTTGGTCCCATCATTCTCGTATAACGCTTTGGACTTCTCTTACTGCGTCCATGGCTGGTATTGGGATATCATGTGGTTCGTTCTTTCTAGCTTCACCCGCTAGACGGTCTGCAGAAATATTTCCTTGAATACCAGCATGACCAGGAATCCAGCAGAATTTTATGTTTTTGTTGCGAACTGCCGCTTCAATACTTTCGATCCATGGATGTGTAGAGCTACCGGACTCGAGAGCATAAAGACAGCTGGCTGAGTCCGTTAGGATAGCTATTGGCTTTTTGGATGAAGTCTTGAGTGCCAGGTTGAGGGCATAGGCCTCTGCTGAGTACACGCTGCACTGACGAGGGATGGCTACGGATTTGCTAACGCCAGCTCCAAAAAGGCCTGTGCCGACTGTATCGTCACTCTTGGAGCCATCGGTGTAAAGTATGGTGTGTCCTTGAAAGTGTCGTTCGATTGTATCCTGTACTATGGGTCGTACTTTTTCTGGCGGGTCTCCAGCCCTAATAACCTGTTTAACGTCCCAGACGATCGTAGGTTTTGGTACATTCCAGTGCCGTTCTGTAATCCTATTGCGCTGACAGATTCTAGGAATAGTTGAATTGGTTTTTTCGGTATACAGCTGTAATGTTCTTTGAATGACTGGAAGATCGGAGGCGTCACTAATTTTCTCTAAAAGCCGAATCGTCACCCGTGCTAACGATTGTAGTACCAGAAGGTCAAATGGTAGCATGCCTGATTCAGCCATGATAGCGAGTGTAGGGCTTGTGACGAATGCTCCAGATGCGAGTCTAATCATCCGGTTGTAGGTTGGGGAGAGGATTTTAAGGGCCGTATGGCCTCCTCTGCTAACTAGACCTATTCCGTACAGAAGACGTGACGTGATGATTGCAGATCCTACCTGCAGCAGTGAACGACGGGAGTCTCGGGGAAGTCTTGATCCAACCATGGTCAGTATTCGTAGTCGCGTGGCGCAGTTTTTGACATTCTGGGTACAGTGTGCTCTAAAGGTGAAGGTCTGGTCTAGCGTGACACCTAGAATTTTGAGCCGCTTTGTTCTAGGTACTGGGATGCGGTCTATGGTTATATCTTTCTTGGGCTGGCGACGAACATTAGGGCTACCGTAAAAGATGTTTGATTTGTTAGATGATATAGAAAAACCTATGCTTATCGCCCATTTGACCACCGCGTTGACAGCAATTTGAAGCTTTCGACCTAAGTTTTGATTCTTTAGGCCTACTACGATCAAAAGGATGTCGTCGGCATAAAGGAGAACCTTGACACCATTTGGAACCACCCGAAAAATCGGTTGCATAGCCACGAGGAACAAGGTCACATTCTCCAATGTAGACAGGTGTGAGAGTTGCCCCGCTACGGCTACTTGAAAGGTGCGGTCCGATAGGAAGCTTTTCAGAATAATGTACATGCGTCCAGAGAAGCGCCATTGCTTCAGTGTCCGTAAAATCCCATGTATCCAGGTGGTGTCATATGCCTTTGACAGGTCCAGAGACGCAATTAGACAGTGCTCGTCTTTTCCGGGTAAATAGCTTTCCAGTTCCGCGAAATGAGTTTCGGTGCCGGCTCCGGATCGGAAAGCGTGTTGTCGCTTATCCAGTCGTTCTTTCGTTTCTAATTCCGTAATTAGTCGTCGGTTAACCATCCTTTCAAAGACTTTAGATATATAACTTAAAAGTGTGATGGGTCGAAAAGCAGCAGGTCCGGTCTCAGTGGAATTTGGCTTCGGAATTGGTACGATGATCCCCGTACACCAGTTGCTTGGGAAAACGCCACTGTGCCAAATGCGATTAAACAACTCTAGTAGTGCGGTTTTTACTGAAAGAGGTAGTCGTTGGAGCATGGGGTTGCCCATGGAGTCGGGACCCGTAGAGAGGCCGCGTCCCTTTTCAAGGGCCCACAAGAGCTCATCTAATGTAAAATCAGTGTTGTATCCGTTATGCTCGTCTGTTGATGGATCAGAATATTTACGTTCGGCTTTCTCCTTCGCTATTTGGAATGTTGTTGAGTAGTTGGAAGTTGCCGACCTCTCAGCGTAGTGCTGGGCCAGTATTTCACCTACTTTTAAGGGATCATCGGTTGGACCTGATGGTTGTCTGATAGCTATAGTGGTGTGACGGCGTTTGCCACGCAAGGTATTGATGGACTGCCAAAGTTCCGTCGTTGAACTGGTAGGAGAGATCTTCGCGACGAAGTTTTCCCATGATTGACTTTTAGCGTCACGGATCGTTGCTCGTGCTGTTGCTCGGGCTTCCTGAAAAGCCTGTAATGCATCGATTTTTTTCGGGTCATCGTCAGCAAGGCGTCTTAGGGTTCGTAGCATTTTTCTTCGTCGTTTAGTAGCCGCCT